CTCATTCTTTCCAAAAACAATAAGGCTGTGGACTGCTTAGTTACTTAGTTATTATAACTAATATTGGTTTATTTCTTCTATACTGTGAAATTGTTCTCGTATTATATATGTGCTGTTTGTATGAAAATATACGTTGTGATCTATTTTAATGTTCTGATAAATGTGACGGTGATTTCTTGTAAGTGTGTGGAGGTTTCTCGCAGCGGATTCCATAGTACTGATTGTTTTTTGTCCCCCCCCCCTTACGTAATCCCTATAATATATGTAAGTACTCTGTAAATAAATAAACAGATACAGATACAAGATACCCATGCAGTATAAGATGGTATTTTCGATATTGCAAAGCATTGATGTGTTGGAACCATATTCACTTCTAAAAGCTTTTAGAACTTTAAAAAGGAGGCATATCTTTATAACCACCCAATGTATGAAATTCCGATTCTCTTTGATGGCATCGTATGTCGAGAAGAGAGAGCTAAAAAAAAGAATGAATGAAAAGAAAACTGCACATATGAGAAACATGCGTGTTCTAGAGATAGAGAAAAAAAAAGAACACGAAAAATGTACATGCAAGTAGGTTAGCTTTTGTTTGTTTATTTTAAAATGTGTCTCTACGCCAAATGTTCCTGTGTAGGTAGTACGGACACCTAGCATTGTGTGGTTTAAAGTTCTGCAGAACAAACGCAGATATACAGTGCACGTCTTCTAAATATCGACACTTATTTATGCAATATTGTAGCTGTCGCTCTTTTATCTGTTTGTTCTCTTTCTTGTTGAAATTCGATTTCTTAAGCCTCTTCATATAAGCAATACACCGTGAAAATTTTATTGCATGAACGTCACCGAAGTGACTACTAATATTGTGCACATTTTCATGCACCATTTAGTGAAGATAATAGACACAGTATTTGGTAGCGTAATGCACAGGGTATTTAAAAATATATGCCTAAAGGTCTTCAAAATTTATATAAATAGAAGATTACCGTGCGGCCGTCATACTTTTCGGTAGTCGCAGAGTGTTAAGCGGAATGGCATCAGTATTCTCACCTGTAAATAAACAGACTTGGTGAATTCGCTTTTCCTTTATTAGAGGTAGGCTGTTGGTTCAAATGCAACAACTATCTGATGTCCTTCCTGCACAGAGCCCATCAGAGTTCTCCCTTTCAATGTGTGCGCACCGAAATGTTACCAAGAATCCCATCAGAGCATTTGTGCTTCGAAATGTGACCTAAGGCGAATGTATCGCAGTGATAATATCCAAGTAAGTTCGCCAGCGAAAAAACATCAACTCAAAGGCGGATCAGTGCAAGTAAATGACAAAGAAAATGACTGGTCATTATTACAGTGCATTTTTTTTATACTTGTCATATATACGTGCTACATACGTGCGGTAGTCACAAGCCCAGCACGCACACGCGCAACAGTATGTACATTATGACAGGGGTCGGCAGCTTTCTCTGGTGGATGGGAAAGTTGCATGGAGCTGACACAACGAAAGGTAAGGAGGTGGAAGTCGCGGCAACTAGAGAGAGGAGGAGGGACTTTGTGAACGAAGAAACAAATAACAATAAACCATTTCATACGAAACTAAATTTGAATTCATATTTAGTTTCAGCACGCCTGTCACAAAGTACCGATCAAACGTGGACTGCAAGCTAAATTCAATTTCGGATCAAAACTGCCATCTGGGCGTTAAGAAAAGAAGTGATTTGGAAAGTAGAAGAGGGACAAAGGAAACTTGATGTTATGCCGGCGGCCGCATAAGACTGCTCAGCGGACCGCAGGCGGCGCACGGGTCGCCGGTGGCGAACTCCTCGATTACGACACCTACGACGCTCGCTCATTCTAGGCGGCTCAGAAGAATTGACCATCGAGCTCTTCCACATTTGGTTTAATTTTTGCCGGCGCAACTCCTCGTTATTGATCAAGAATGCGCCATTCGTGAAGTAGATGAAAATGCATGCTCTTCTTGATAGTTTGTCATATTGAGCACGTCTTCTAATGTGGAATATTAACCCATGCAGCACGACTCAGTTGATGTCTTCGAATTGCGGGCAATGCGTCAGACGGTTGCAGTGTGCGTGCATTAAGGTAATAACTGTTCAAAGCAACTTCGAGCAGTAAAGCCGACTTTTTTTTTTTTTTTGACCTGAACGTGTGAGAATTGACCACTCAGTTGATAAGCGGCGTTCAACCGCGCACAGTGTCAAAATGAACGAGTTTATGTGCATGCGTGCGATAGACAGGCCTCTGCAGCTCTCTTTTGCTAGGCTGCTTCTCACCCTTTTTACAAATAAAAGTTCGCACTCACTGACTTTGCTAGGCTGTTACGACAGCGGGGCAATGGTGTGCCCGCCAATGGTGCTTAGAGACTCGGCGATCAACGAATAGGTTCGTGAGTTTAGGATTAAAGAACGGGCGGCAGTACATAAGTTTTTGGCCTGTTTCTCACTTGCAATCCCATCAAGGGCTTAAAAATGCATTTCGACTGCACTGAGACGACGCTATTTTCAAATAGTATTGACAGTCCTTCAACAGTTTCGATGGTTCATTTAATCAAGAAAAGAACGATAACTAAACCCGCAAACTAAAACAGGGAGATGTTACGTATCATAGTACGTCACTAAGTTTGTTATCTGATGACGTAACGAAATCTGCTACACATCACCACGGCTGGCCAAGGTGTAAATAAACATAGCTCACGCACTCTTGATGGTGCGCGAAAACTCTCTTTCCGATGTCACCTCACGCGCAATCAAGCGCGTGAGGTGACATCACCGCGCGTGAGGTGGCATAAGCGCGTGAGGTAACATAAGTAGCTTTAATTAGAGGTGGGGCATATAAAACGTTTTTCATTTTCAAGTTTAGAACAGTATGCTGCATGCCAGTTCTGCCGCTTAATGGTCAGGTTCGCTGTGATCTCAATACTCTCTTTCTGATGTGCCCAATTTTTATGAAGGTGTACAGAAGAATACCGTATTCCTCTGAATTAGTATAGAAATGAAAATCTCGTTGACAATCACTTTTTTCCTTATTGCAACATTGCGCCTCGAAATCAGGGCTCCAACACGCAGTCCTTGAACATTTTGTAGCGGATCAGTATGCACATTACTTCCCTCCTCTCATTTTGGTTGAAGCTCTAAGTAAGTTTAACTTGAACACCACTGGCATATCTTAACTAAAGCATTTTTGTCGTTAGGTCACCTGCAGTCACCATGCAGTGTCCATGTGTTGGTGCCTAGCCACAGAAGAACTCGATATACCTCTACTGAAGGCTCCCTGTAGTGCCATTATTCTCTTTAAGCAGCGCAACATAGGAGTGACAGCCTAAATATGCACTGGCGTGGCAGCCAAGCATGGCGGCGTTTTTTTTTTCTCCTGTTAAAAAGTGCCTATTTAAATCGTCACCCAGAATTTTCCCTTTTAAAAACCCCTTGAGAGGGGGGAGGTATTGCGTTAGTGGTAGGAATATATTAGTATATGACGTCAATATTATTTACCTTCACAGAAAATCAAATATTATTATTAAAACGCTAAAGAACATTATTTGCCTAATACTCCGTAACTAAACACAAAAAATACAGAAGATTACACGAGATAAACTGTTATCTATTTGAACACAAATACATATGTAGCTAAATATAACGAAATAAAATTGCACTTCTGCTACGAAAAGTATGAAGCGCCAATCTATGCGATCTGGCCTCATTCCCCTGATCTTGTTTTCGTTTCACTGCCTCGACGTAATTGAATTTCGGGGGCCAGCTTCATAGGTGAAGTCAGTTTCATGCGCCTACTCTAAATAACCTCGTGAAAAGTTAACACGAAAATTTGCAAGCAGTCAGTACCTATAGCGTTCACATTACGTTTTCCAATGCGATCATGTTCTAGCAAAATAGGCTCTGAAAATAACTGTCATAACTCTTTATTAGGTTTTAAGAATATGCACGTACTATACAAATAAACAATTTTCATGTGCTGTCACGCTACATGTCGGAAGATACCTTTTTATCTTTCTTTTCTAAAAAATCAATCTTGTATATGCCTCATCAACCACTTGTCTTTCGCACTGATTAGCTTTAAGTAATAACACTATCAAACAAATGTCAAAGAATTATTTAATTTTGTTCTTGTATGTGATGAAAAAAAACTTGAAGCATAACGAGCAAAGTTTTTCAGCAAACACCATCAAAAAAATATGTAACGCATCATTTTGCGTGCTGCAACAGGCTGCAGAGCCTAAATAATTGCAGATAATGTGTACATTGATGGTGTAACTATCACAATAATAAAACCAAGATAGCCATTGCAATCGTTCTTGCTCCAGGAAGGGCAAAACGATTGAACCAGTGCACTTGTGCGAGCACGCTATAGACGAATACATTCAACTGTAAACAGTTTATTAGTGAGATGCAGTGGTGCCTGATGTTGCGGCTGGTTGATGTTATTTTGACACCTACAGACCAAGCAAGAGTTATCAGCGTGTAAATGCACGAAACGAATGAAACGAAGCGGCGAGAAATTCGCATTGCAAGTCAAACTGTTTCATCCTTCGGTAAATGTCAGGGTTCCCAGAGACTTTACAATAATGGCCACCTTCCGTGTGCGCTGGAATATGAAACAAGCACCTTAAAACTACTCCGCTAAACCATACCACGCGCCAGCGGCGAGGAAACGCCTGGCAGGCATATCGCAAACATATGCCGAATTTTAAGCTGATCAGGCTACGTTGTGTAGGAAGCGCTGGTCTTCTGCCGCGTTCGATTCCGCTTTCTATTGTATCGAAAATATTGTAGGAAGAAACGAGAGCTGTGGAATACTTACGTCGAGCACGTGCAGTGAGCAACCTTTTCTTTTCCTGTTCGTTGCACGTCGCAAAGTACCTTCGATATACGGCAGCCTCATACGTGACTGCCATGTCGCCGAATACGCTGTTCCCACAGTAGGACGAGTATATAAGCTACGCACCGGCGCTAGCTGAGGCATCTTTCTCCTCGGAGCAAGTGGAAGAAGCAGCGACATGAACGCCTTGGTGAGCATTCGTGTCGGCGCTAATGTGTTAAGCCCATACGGAGCTAGTTTTTTCAAACAGAAGTGAGACATCGAGCAGACAATGGAGGCGATGAAATATAAATTTAATGTGAAAGTAATTGTCACACTTTTTAAAAGCTGCTAGTTTTATTCTGATATTGTAATCTAATAGTGTTTATCTGATAGGTATACCCAAATATTAAAAAGCTTGTCAACAAATAGGCCTGTATAATAAATATTAGGCAAGAAATATCATCACTAAAAGATAAAAAAATATCGGCAGCATATTAAAATGGGGAGGCTATGTGGTAGCACAAACTGCCTATGAGTTACGCAGGTTTCCCCCAATTTTAGCAGAAAATGTTTAAATAAAGGTAGTTAAGGCACTCTTTTACTATGTGAATACTATTGGTAAAAGTTATATTTTGAAATTTTTATGAATTTTCTTTTCTTTCATATCTGCTGGCTTTATGACGCTCAGATAATTGTATGAGCCCTTGTGTGACACTGACTATAATTGTGATTAAGGGAATAAGCTAGAATATGCATCGCTTGTTTTACGTTGACCTAAATGAACAATTAGCAATGCTTTGCGATCTACTGTACCGTTAATGCTTTATAATTTAATGTAGCTGTAGATTGAGAATGCTTACATGCAGTTTTGAGAACGACGATAACTTTAACTTACGAGCTGACTTAAATACATTGGTATGTTCAATTCATTTTCCTTGAACTCGAAAAATTACGAAACTCAGCGAGCGCTTCAAGCAAATACGGTCGAGCCTACTACAAAGCGAAGGAATTTTGATACCGTTTACATAAACATCGATCAATACCTCCGTTCCTATACGTCACCTAATTGCGAATTCCTTCGAAGTAAAAAGAAGCCTAATGCACAAGTGGTTGACGCCATTCGAGACATTGTGAACATATTTTAACACACCAGACGACTGCGCGGACACAAGAGAAGAGAAAAATCGCAGCTTCACTTGTTCTCTTGCGTCGTCTGCCTAGTTGTGCGCCAGAGTTGTTCAATCATATCAGTTGCTAAACTCCCCATAGGGTTCATGTAACAAAATCCGGACACGTCATTGCACTCCCACACCGCTGTCGGGAATGAGCAGATTGTCACGTCACCTGTTAATCCGCAGGCCCACTAATAAACTCATTATTTGTGGTTTGCGTTGCAGTTCCCAGGTGGCGCAACAGTCAGCTAACTTCTGTAAAATCAGCTCAACTGCGTGTCTAGATTTCGGAACGCAGTTTCACAACTCGTATGATTGAATAACTCTGGTGGCGCGCTGTGTTAAAATATGTTCAAGTACCGTCACCAACTGACACACATTTCAGTCCTTCTACGAGACAGTGTGTCGTCCAGAAATAGAAGAGGCTCACATAAGCACAATGCTACAGTTTGAGTACCAGTTTCATTTTGACGTGGTAAAGTGACAAAATTCATGAATATGCAATAAAAGCATTTCTTTTTTTAGTGTTCTAATGTATTCAATTTATGAATCGTTGCAGTACATTACCACCATCCTCGCCGCTGTTTTCGCCACCACTATCGCTGGTGACATTGGTTACGGCATTGGCTATGGTGGTGGCTACGGCGGTGGCTACGGTGGCGGCTACGGCGGTGGCTATGGTGGTGGCTACGTTGGCGGCTACGGCGGCGGCTACGGTGGCGGCTACGGTGGCGGCTATGGCCTAAGTTATAATGGAGGCATAGGCGTCGGCGGTGTTGGTATTGGAAGCAGCGTGGCTCTTCTTCGAGGAGGACCTGGACTGTATAAGGCTGTGGCTGGTCCGGCATTCTTGGTCAGAACCGTGCACCAAGTGAACAAGATTTCCGGTGGTGGGGCACTTCTCGCCCATTCTGGCGTTGGTGGAGGCTACGGATACGGTGGTGGTTACGGATACGGTGGCGGCTACGGATATGGTGGCAGTTACGGATACGGTGGCTATGGATATGGTGGCTATGGTTACAAGGGATGATTGGGAACTTGTGGAATTGGACTTTTTTTTGACACCGTAAAAGATCCATGCCTCAAAAATAGTAGCACTATGTCTTTGTTTTTGAGTGTTCTATTTCATTCACACAAACACAACTGCTAGCGCTACTGCAACGCTAATTCCAAAAACACTTCTCTGAAATGGCAGTGTTGCAGTACTGGAGTCTTTCATATCTATCAAAAAAAAACAAGTCGCATAACGAGGTTATACATGTATGTCATCTCACTACAGGTTTTCTGAAGAGAATTTAGTTTCAATTCATCTTCATTCTGTGCATTGTTTATAACACATTCATCGTACCAAGTTTTGGCGGAAGACGCGGCTGAATATTGTAGTGTTATGTCTTTTCCATTGTAACACCACAAAGATGCCGCTGTAAAAACAGAGAGCGCTGAGATCTAATCGTCCATCTCGAAAAGAGAAACGATGTGGATATGTTCGGCATTTTGTACAGTTGTTTAGCACTCATGGAGAAATAAATTGATTTCCTCTTCAAATCGAAAGTGAATACATTGTTTTTCTTGGTGGAGAAGAACGTTCCCGTTATGTGTTTTCACGTGCGATGACCTCTCGTGGTCTGCCTGAACGCAAGGTCACTCACATGAAGTGCGCTACCAACATACAATACTTCAAGTTTTCGCCATAACGAGCAAAGCCGTTATTATAAAGGAGTACTAACAAAACGAATGCGTTCCGTAGAATATCAGTTGTGCTCATTACAATGTGCTGAAATCACTTCTTACTGCATGTTCTTCCGCTAGTTAACGGAAGTTACGAAACAAGTTGAGGTCTGCGAATAATGTTAGGCACATCCTGAAAATGCGCGTTTACTTTCACTTAGTATTACGCAGTGCCAAATTTTTTATGATAATTCACCGACGTCCCCACATTGCAACTCCTAGTTTCATTAAAGTGTTTTCATTTGTGCGTGAGAGTCGTGGGACCAAGTATTGGCCGTTGCAGTCCCTTTTTCGAAAAGTGCTAAAATACTAGACATCCTTGTACATTGATTCAAGGACACCTTGAAGAAACCCAGGTGGTCTTAATTTCTGTAGCCTTGCACCACGGCGTCTGTCATAAGCAGGTCGTGGTTTCGAAAACCTGCACTCCAATAATAAGTATTTGTGTTAAAGAGAGCTTAACGTATTTGGGATTCGAGGCTTGCTAACATATTAACCTATTGAAGTTTTCTATTTGCCACAACGCAAGCTGAAGCAATAGGGATGAGAAGGAAGGCAGAAACAGCTAGAAGTACACAGATGTTAGCCCGTTCCTACACCAGGCTGGGGACCATGTGCTGGAAAAGGGGGTAATGAGGATGAATGGTGATAAGAAATAGATGTTAAAACAAGGGTCACAGCAGAAAAAAGAGAAGAAAGGAGAATTCGACAAAGCCTAATGTCTGTCGCTAAGACCAGCTGCCCACACAGAAAACGTACTAGCGCTTTTCAAATCCTTCTGGGCTGAGTACGATCACGGCCACTTTTCCCGAATCTTCTGCGCCAACAAAGCGTTATTATTCAGTCAACCTTGTGTACCGGTAAGTTCTTGTTTTGGCGTATCGAAACGGGTGCTCTCGCACAGAAGACGGGCAATCGTTTCTTCATCCGTTGCATATACGGCACGTAGAATTGCTGGCCATTCTCATAACAAAAAAAAGTACGCATTTTGAAGGCCGCGCCAAGCACCAGGCGTCAGAGAAGATCTCTAAACTCGAGATATTCCTGATAAAGATGAAGGTTGCGATCTAGATACATGTTATATAGGTGAGTGCTTCTGAATACCATCGAGTTACACACCGCCAGTATGAAGTCACGTGCCAGTGATGGAAGCATCGTAGGTGCGTCGGTTCTTGAAAACAGTTAAGGTGTCGATTGGGTACTGTTCTGCAGATACAGCCGTCTCATTTGCGCGGTGGAGGAGGAATGGAAGAATTTAAAAGGAGTGACGTCAACCAAGCACGTCCAGTTTGCTACCCTGCGTTGGGGAAAGGAGTGAGGGTATTAAAAGAGAATAAAACAAGGAGAAGGGAAGCACACAGTGTGGGTACATGTGAGCCTGTCCACTGCACGCTCATAAAGGGTCACTTAGGGCCGTCGACTTCAGAAAACCTAGCAATAACCACGTCGCTTTGTTGGCCTGTGACGCGTATAACCACACACACACACACACACGCGCACACGCACGCACGGTTGCACACACACACACACACGCACGCACACACACACACACACACACGTGTGTGTGGGACACAGTGCATTTAAGTTGTATACGAAGTATTATTGGTAAGCCTCCAGCTCTTCATAAGATCACCTGCTACGTGCCGCCAAACAGGCTCCTAAAGAGTGTGCCCCACTCGCAGCCATGGCTACTGGTCACGCTAACTGACACTCCCACGTTTATTTCACATATGCACCCAATAGAGTGGCTGCGATAATAGCTGCCATGGTAGCTAAGTTTGTAAAACTTCGAATGCGTAATTCGAAGGTCACAGGTTTGGTTTCTACACGTAGCAAGTTGTCTTTTCACCCTTTTTCTTAGCATTGACGTTACAATTTGGTCCAATAACTTACCGAATGATATCGTTTGCATTATTGTTTGTTATACCTCACTAAAATTCTGTCAAACACATAAAAAACGAGCCATTATGTATACACTTCCTTCCTTATATTATTAGCGAGGGTCTCGTACTGGCAGACTTGGTGCCTTCATAATGGATATGTGAGGTTTAACGTCTCAAAACCACCATATGATTATGAGAGACGTGATTTGATGTTTTCAGTTTGTATACGAGGGATTATTGGAAAGCACGTAGTAAGTTGACTTGCCACTTGACGCCAAGCAGGCTCATAAAGGGTGTGCTTTACTCACCGTCATGGCTACTAGTAACGCTGACTGACACTCCTAGGTTTAATTCACATGTATACATAATAAAGTGTCTGGAGGTATATCCACAGTGATAGCTCAGTTGTAGAGCATCGAACGCGTTATTCGAAGGTCGCAGGTTTGGTTCCTGCCCACAACAAGTTACCTTGCCACGCACTTTTCTTTTTCACATTTACGTTACAATAGGTGACCGGTAATAAAGGCGATCGCAGTGAACTGTGTGATACGACGGCTATCGTTTCGACGCACCACACGGGTTACAGCGTCGACACGTGCGCATTTTTGTACCACTCTGTTGAAAAAAGCACTTCTTCGTGCAATGTCAGTTCTTTAGAAGTTGGTTTTTGTTTCTGCTTACTGTGAAGGCGACGATGAAAAGCTACGAAAGCCATGAACGGTAAGAAAACCTTTTTATCGAACCAAAATGAGCTGCAATGCTTTTATGCTGCTCGGGTGTACTGTCAGTTTGGCTAGCAGATCAGTTAATACAGAAGACAGTTCTCAATGTATGATACGGTACTTCAGATAAAATATCAATTGAATGATCGCAGTGTATGGGGATGCCTGTAGCAGTGTGCTAAGAGTTCATTTCGGGATCACTGCTGCGGCTGACATCGTCGGTCGATCATAATAAAACGCAGCATTTATTGAGCGCCTTGGGATTTTTTTAGCCTTCAGCGCGCTATAGGGGCATGTCTTGGTCGAGGCCAGGTGCTTATCTGAACGCTCATGTTGGTCAAACTGCGTGGCACGGCAGCACAAAAACAATACAGTCAGAGATAGGCAGTGCCTAAAAATCGAAACGCAGTGCTGCTTTAACGCACTTCTTCCTTTGTATATGCCATCCTAGTCCACAGATTCACCAAGATAAAAGCAAACGGACTCGTCCAGCGCTTCGTGTAGACTTACTTTTGAGTGAACCTTTCGCGTTTTTCGTCATTTATATGAGTGCGATGGCCGGCGCTCATCTCTTCTGGCTGGCAGAGTTCGCCCGGGCGTTCCCATAATAATATTGCCAGGCGCGCATACGCGGCGATTCCTTTCTCGACATATTATTCGCAGCAAATTTATACGTAAGCTTTTTATTATTGTGGAATACACAAGTAGCTGTGGTAAAATGTTCTCTGCACACACTGGCTCTAACGTTCGGTACCCAAACGTTACCTGTCGCTGTGGCTCTATTCACAGCCGTGGCCCACCTCATTTTTCTTCCATCGTTCCATGTGAATCGATACATGCTGATACATGTCGTTTGCCTTTCACGCTCGAGTTGGAGCAGCCAACGACTGAACAACCAACCTTGGTTTAGCAAGGTGAAGATAAACAGTCGACCGCGCGTGAATCCTGAGTAATCTGAGGCTTACGGCGGAGTGGTTCGCCATCGTGTACTCTCCTCGAAACGGAAGCTAGCAGCAGACGATGCATTCCACAATCCCTCACTCGCTTACTAGTCACCTATTCGGCCTAATACCTTTCCCTATACTTTCTTTGGCATTATTGTCTATTATATTTCACTAATATTGCATCAAACACAGAAAAACGAAACCTTATGTTTACACATTTCCCTTATTTCATTACCAAGGGTCTCGTACTGGCACGCGTAGTTCCTTTACATTGTATGCAAAGGCGTATTGGTCAGCTGCCAGCTCGTAATAACTTCACGTGCTGAGTTACGCCAAACAGGCTACAAAAGATGGGCCACTCTCACCGCTATGGCTACTGTTGATGCTTACTGACTCCAATAAATTGGCTGGGGGATAGCCGCCGTAGTAGCGTAGTAGCGTGGTTGGCAGAACATTGAATGCGTTATTCGATGGTCGTAGGTGTTGTTCCTGCACACTACAAGTCATCGTTTCACCCATTCTTTTTTCTCCACATTCGCGTTAGATTCTGGTGTAATACCTTTCCAGTACTTTCTTTGGCTATACACATCTTGCCTTATATATATATATATATATATATATATATATATATATATATATATATATATATATATATATATATATAGTGTAAGGAGCGAGAGCAATAGACAACGCCCGCACGCTGGGCCGGCTGTTCTTATTCTGAATTCCCTCTTCCCTTCCTCGCTCAGCTACCCACGCGCTGGAGCCCCAGTTTCTTTCTTCGTCAGGATGACACTCGGCCATGACTGCACGCGCGCGGAACTGTCGACAGCTTTTCTGGTGGGCAGGGTTTGCTGCATAAAAGTGGACGGACTGTTTCACGCTTCAACGTCGCCCGAAATTTCTCGGACTTGAATTCGATAACCGACGCTGTGTGCGTGACCATGATCATTTGAAATACTGATGAAGACGCTGAGGATTGCTGAGGTTTGGCGTAAACATTGGCCTATAGCGACTCAGGGTTACGACTTTGTGTTGTGGCGGTCTATAACCTCGGCCACGTTGCGACACCTCCAGTGCGTTTTCAGACGGGTGGATTGAGTTCCGTCGCTGCCGTCGCTCTCGTCCAAGATGCGACGTGTTCGGACGACTTGGTGAAAACGAATCTGCCGGGCGGCACTGACTGTCTGGCCACGGCCGGACGCGGCTACGCTGCGCCTTGGCACGCTGTGACAGTAATTGTTGCCTTGGTCGGTCGCAGTGTCGCTTTAGACGT